GCTCAGCCGAGCCGAGGCATATGCATTCGGCTCGACTGAACCGCTCGGCCACGTTCGGGAGCTGTACGGGCTATAGTGAATAGCCCGTACAGCAGCCTTTTCGGGTTCTACTGAACCGAAGGGGTCCTGGGGCCGAAGCTAGCCGAAGGATCGGCCAAAGCTATGGCTAGATCCTTCGGCAGCTTCGTGAATAGACCCCAAAGACTTCACGGTTAATTTTATCTGCCATTGAAGGAACTGAGGAGATCAACGCGGCTCAGCCGACCCGAGGCATATGCCGCTTGGCCAAGTTCGGGAGCTGTACGGGCTATAGTGAATAGCCCGTACAGCAGCCCTTCGGTTCTGCTGAACCGAAGGGGTCCTGGGGCCGAAGCTAGCCGCAGGATCGGCCGAAGCTACGGCTAGATCTTTTGGCTGCTTCATGAATAGACCCCTTAGTCTCTGCACATTAAATGGAAGGATGCCTGGCATCAAATCCAGATGGAGCTAAAGCATCAGTATATGCTGACAGATTGAGCTTTTATACCTTTGTTTTTGTCTCTAAAGGATTTTTTTCTGGGACTCTCTGCTAATGGAATAAGAAAAACACGTTTCTTTAACGTGTTAATGTTTTGGTACTTTTTTAGAAGGTCATGAACAAGCCTGGTCGGGTTTCCTCCCTTGCTGTCTCCCAAATTCTGCAAAGCTTTTTTTGTCTGCAAGATAAAATGCAGTATATATGTTTTTGTGGTAAAATAGTTACACCCTAGTATGTGTCTTGCTGTGAGTACATTCTCTTCAAGCATATTCCCTTTAGTTACTATAAGGGTGTTAAATGGCTATCTACAGGACATGATTACAAGTCTTTTTGTATTGAGGTACTGAATGCCAGGTTTGGTAATCTGGATCACACCTCTCTTCCCACATGTGGGCTTTAGCTATATTAATGACCCCTCCTATTTAACTCTCATACACAAGGCTGGAAATGGACATTGTAGGCTCATCTTTAGGAGAAACAGTGTTTTAGGGGCGTCTGCTCCCACGGCTTTTTGCTCTGAAAACCCTTTCTTTTTAATGTCTGTTGTAGCATGTAAAAGTCACCCACTACCCAAATAATGTATTGCATTTAGCAGTAGGCCAACTAGGCTAAGATATTTTTGCCTCTCTAGCAGAGCTCTACAGTCAGTAATAGTCATTCAGAAGTTGTGGAAAGTTTTGTGACCTGAGTCCTATCCGTGGCTGCGCTCTACCGGAAAAGGGGGACAGAAGTTGTGGGCAGCTGCACAGTGCAAATCACCAGCTGAAGTGCTCTACAGTATGCAAGCCGTTCGCAGCTCATAGGACCAATTAACAAATGGAGAAATGCATTCATTTTAATGCTAATGCAGTGCAAGGGCCTTTCAACTTTGGTCAGCTGGCTTACAATAGCCAAAAATTAGGTCTTTGTTATGTTCCTGCCCCCTCACTATAAATGGGGGGAGCACAGAGTAGCCATAGTCTCAATGTATTATAAACTGTTGCAGGGAATGGATAGGGAAAGCTGTCAAAATGCATAGCAACAGATTCGGGGTCATTTAGGAAACTGCCAGCTAGGTTACTATATGCAAGGAGTTTGCATGTTCTCCCTGTGCTTGCGTAGGTTTCCTCTGGGTACTCCGGTTTCCTCCCACACTCCAAAGCCATGCTGGTAGATTAATTGGCTCCTCTCTAAGTTTGCCTGTGAGATAGATTGTATCTCTTAAGGTGGCCATACACTCTACAACCATCGCAAGACTTTGGTCTTGCGATGGTTGTACAGGGATTAAAAAAACGTACGATCTGCCTATCTTGGACAGGCAGATCGCACTCTCGATCATCGCAAGCCCGCCCCCCTGAGCGGCGTGCTTCCGATGACCGCAATGCTGAACGGGCAGTGTGCGCGTGCGCACACCGGCCCGTTCGGCATTTGTCTTCCGAGCACCGTTCTAACCAGCCGAGAATCGTACGATTCCCGGCTGGTTTTCGAACATGCTGGTTCGACAGAAGACGTGCGACCGTACAGTAGAAACGGTCGCACGTCTCCGTTCACACTGCTCGATTATCGTACGAGAAACCGATCGCATACGATTATCGTACGATAATTGTGCAGTGTATGGGCACCTTTAGATTGTAAGCTCGTTGAGGGTATGGATGGACTGATGTGAACTATGTAAAGTGCTGCATAAATTGTCGGCGCTTTATAAATACCTATAATAATAATAATAATAACTATGTATCCTAGTTATTTTGGGCAATCGAGCCCCTTTCTGCATTTTACTTGGGGCTTTTTTTAGATTTGTTTTTTTTTTTAGTTGAGGATGGTGGTCACTTTCAGCATGCTTTCCCATTTATAGTAACCTTCTCCTTGGAAAATGGGCTTTTGTTGCATTTGGGGGTATTGATTTATTTATTTTAGGGGTACACTTTGTATTTTATGTTTTTAGGGCGTTCTGTTAGGGTTATACATTAAAATTTGTGCAGCGAAGGTTTCTTTAAAAAAAAAAAGTGGGCTTTTGTTTCTGGGGTGCAGTATTTTAGGGTTTTCACTCATTTTGGGGATACATTGATTTTTATTGTATGTTGAGAGGGTTTTTTTTAAGTTAAACTGCTTTTTACTTAGTAATATGTGGGGGTTTTAATTTCTTTTGGGGGTTTCTTGATTTTTATTTTATGTCGACAGCGCCTTTTTTTAAAAAAATTTGGAGTGCTCAAAGTAAAGCATTCGCTTGTTTTTGACTATCTGTTCCTCGAGCTGCCTTTTGTTTGCAGCACATTGCTGTATCATTTGAAAGAAAAATAAAACTAAGTTGAAGAACAGTGTGCACCTAAAACAGC